TATATATATAATTAGTGACACTGCAAATGAGACAGAATGAACTACGTGATAGATTAGCTCTTTTTGGAACATAAAATGGATACTGTTGTACTTTTTATATATTTTATTTATGAAAAAAGTTTTGGGTAGTGGAACATCTTCATGCTGGGAATTTATTTTCCACTTTGTCATTTGTCTGCGTGTAAATAGGTTAGGAACACATATCTATGGGCGCGCTCCTAGCCTTTCAGTGCGTGCAGAGTACGTCAGCTCATCCACCAATCTGGTCAATGCCTGATTGAAAATGATATAAAATCATACCAAAAAAAGGTCTGAAATGCCTTTGGCATTTGAACTCTGAGATGTATTGGACTGAGATCTGCCTCCAGCTGATGGGAACACTAGTTTTCTCTGTTTAATTTGTGGGGGAAGGTTTGTGGAGGTCAGCTGAGACTCACTTGTGCTGTGTGCCCTGCAGTCCTTTGCTGCAGGGGAGTGGAGGAATCTGGATCCTCTGGCAGAGGAGAGAGCAGCTATTTCATATGACAACAACGATGAGACATACAGCTCTAAGAGCAACTGTTTGCTGTGAAGTGCTTGTGAATAACCTGTTTCTTTCTATGGATTATGAGACCTGTCCCATGTTGATTGTAAGCCAGAAAAAAGAAACAATACTCAAAATTTTTTACTTGTTAACAGTCAGAGGCCAATATGTAAGCAAATAGCATTTGTCTTCTACTTAATCACATTTCTCTTCATTCATCACAGACACAGGTCCTTTCTTTAAGTTTTTATAACACTAGGCTAAATAAAACAGACTATATACCTGTCATTGAAGTGGAACAGAGGCTGAGATTGGACAGAACAAAAATATTTTCATCATATCAGAAAGTTTTTTTTGCAAAAGATTATACCAAGATGGGCAACAAAACCTTGTAAATGTTTTGAAAGCGGAAAGAAACATGCTGTGGGTCGGTAGCACTTGGAGCATTTAGAGGAATGCTTTGCTAGACTGCAATTGTGATCACCTCTTTTTCCTTTGATCTGTCTGGAGATGTGGTAGTATGTTTGAAGCTGGAAACAGCACTTTTCTAATGTTCTCTAGCCTCAAAAACAAGATACCAAACATAAGGATTTTTTCCTCCTTTCTTCCCTCCAGCTTGTTCCTGCCAGAACAGACTATTCAATTGTGTACTTTGCAGCCAGGCATAACTGTGCATCGTGATTCTCTCTGCTGAAGGAGGGGAGAGCTGTAGTATGGGGATTGAGAGGGCTTTTGTTGCTGGAAGGAATTTTTTACTAGCTTTTTTTCTCTGTGTGTGAGAGACATAAAGTGCTCTGGAAACGTACAGATTCTCCCTGCCAAGAATGGTTCTTTTCACAGCTCCCCTTTTGCCAATTTCAAACTGGTTAAGAAATAATAAAAATAAAAATAAAAAAAAGTTTTCACATACATATCCTAATCTCCCTGGGTAAGGGATATCGTTGAGCAATAAAGTCTATAAAAGTGCCAAAATAACCTATTTCCCCAGAAGAATAGAAGAATCGAATATGAATACCTATGCTAAGGTGAAGAGGGAGTTTTCAGTGACAAGAACAAGACAAGAACAAAGGCAAGGCTGAACCGTTATTAACCAACTGTCTTAATTAAGCTAGAATTATGATGTTCTAATATTTTTAAGGATCTCAGTCACCTGCTCTGTCTTTGGCTTTAATTTTTTTCCCCAAAAAATCTTTAATGCAAAATAATTAATTCAGCTCGAAATACTCATTCTAAATGCATGAAATATGTAGAGAGGATTCTAGCAAAATGCTTCTTCCCTGTGAGGGTGGTGAGGCCCTGGCACAGGTTGCCCAGAGAAGCTGTGGCTGCCCCTGGCTCCCTGGCAGTGTTCAAGGCCAGGTTGGATGGGGCTTTGGGCAACCTGGGCTAGTGGAGGGTGTCCCTGCCCATGGCAGGGGGTTGGAACTAGATGGGCTTTGAGGTCCCCTCCAACCCAAACCATTCTATGGTTCTATGATTCTACTCCCAACCTTGACTTGACACAATGTTATTCTAAATAACAGGTTGGTTTTAGTCATAACATAGTGCTATACGTGATCTCAGACAAATATAGGAGATCACGTCATAAGTCCAGACAAAATATTCTGTTGAACATGCACAAAATGGAGAAAAACTGTTATGAGTCAGGGAGCACTGGAAAGCAAAGGGAAGTTTGTAACTTACTTTTTTGACACCTTCTTCCAGTGTAGCCCTCAGTACAGGAACACACATTGGTTCGAACACAGTGACCACCGTTCTTACAAGGGGGAATGCAAATGGCTAGTGAAAGGAAAGCAAAAGTTTGGTGCACTGAAATCACTCAGAAGATCAACATTGCTTAATTACAGTCTCCTTATCAAGGTGCCTGCGTTGGGAGAGCAGTCTGCAGAGGCTTTTTCTTTAGCTGGTGTAGAGAAGGTGTCTCTCCAAAGGGTGATTCAGGCAGATGCCTAGCTTGAGATCCTGATTCTGTCTTGTTTGTGGAAAGAATATGGGACATGACTCCTCGCACCTAAGGGTCTCTTAGACACCTGCAGGTAAGTGCTTGGAATGTCCCTGAGAATCTCTTAGGTTTTAGCTCTCTAGCTAAAGGGCTTCTTCAAGGGCTTCTGCCCTTGAAATACAGATCGGTGTTTGATATTTGCTAACTTTGTTTTGGCACTGTTACTTCACCCCTTTCTCAGTGAAGCAGGAGGAAGGTCTTGGCTTCAGCATCCACCCACTCTCTCCCCATATCACTTCCATATCCCACAAATGTGGATATTTATTTTCAAGTTTTAGTTCTGTCTAAACCATAACACTTAAGGATAAAAATTCCAGGTCTCCTAGGTGTTGAAAAGCACCTTCCATGTTGAACGTCAAGAGAAAGATCGTCAAATTACAGTATGTATCATTTTCACTCTCTCCTTCACGCCCAACATCACAAAAACAAACAGCTTCCAGCAAGCTCCATTTGCAATTAGAATTTGTGCATGAATCATTCACTTGCAAAAATACGCATTGGGATTGCATTCATCTAGGAACTCCAGGGAAACAAAAGCGAGAGAGCAAGAGAAAAGAACTTTTACTATTGAATTAGTTTGGATTTGGTAATAAGAGTGTGTTTATATTCCCAGATTCAGGAGGGGTTATTAGGGCCAAGCTCAAAAAATTGAAAAGCATGTGGTATGAGCACACGACTCTTCCAGCTATTTGAGCCCTAAACATAATTTCATCTCTCCTGCCTATTCTGCCTGGGCTAACGGTAGTTAAAGTATTCCCTAATTTGACTTCTGCAGCACAAAGTGAGCAGGAAGCCCCAAATACTGTTGGCCTCAGTTTAGAGCTCTCCCCTTTAGGGCAGGGATTCAAAATCGGGTCCTGCTCCATGTCAGGCAGAGAAATATTTGGTTGGATCTTTGGGCAGGGATCTAAAGAATTCTCGTCCTATACAATTTTCCCATCCACTACACTCTAGGATGGTCAAGTAGGTGATATTGTGAGCCCCATTTGAAGATAAATTATCATCTGGCTCTGAAACACAGTATAGCACACACGATAGAGTATGCAAAATGAACCAAGCAGAGCCGTGCCCTAACATTGAATGGAATACTTGCTAATTAGTGATATCACTGGCTTCAGGTAGTTTAAGATTAATTGTTTGGTTATCATTAATGCTGTCGTAAATAAGTGCTTACTCTTTCACAATACCATTAAGAACAATATGATGCGGATTTATGACAGACTATAACATCAAAGGAGCACACAGGGAGTTATGACAAGGAAAATCTCTGGATATACTTCATGTGGGGGCAGGCAATAATATAGGCTGCTGTTTATATTTTAAGCCTGGATCCTTTATCAAGATGATAAATAGAACTTTCTTACCTCTCTGGCACTGTGGCCCGTAGAAACCATAAGGACATGTACACATATTTGGCCGCACACAGATTCCTCCATTCAAGCACACCGGATTGCATACAGCTGTATGTGAAGATAAGATAATTCTATGGACCTCGTCTAATTTTGAATTTTTTAGAGTAGGTACACTTTTGCTGCTGCACATGGTATTAGAATAAACATTTCTAGTACTATTGTGATACATTTCACACAATCCTTGCCGGTCAGTTGTGCTGTGGCATTTATTCGTTGTTGACACAGTGGTGTTTTAGCATAACTTGGGGGATGAAATAAAATATAATTTAATAGTTGATTTCTGATGTCTTCCTTTGATTTGCACAGTTCATTTGCTTCCACTCTAGTATCCTCACCAAACACGATCCCAAGGTAGTAAAATGTAGTGACACTGCACACAGCCCGGACAACCTGGAGATGGGACATGAGCCGTTTGCTGCTTTCTCTGAGTTCAGCAGAGCTCCGTGGCATTTCCATGAACAGGTATGCACTGCAAACCCTCCACTTGTTCTGCCTCATTTACACGCCAGTTCCCACAACATATTGGCTCATGCATCACCAGCAAAGCCACTGGCTGAGCTTCCTTCGCTTCTTTATTTATCTCTTATTACTGTAGATGATATAACAGGCACTAGGAATTAAAACCCGCCTTGCATATTTCTATGCGGCAAGTACCTGAATGTTGGGGAAAAAAGGTATTATTTGAATTGCAAATGGGTTTAGTTGGGAAGTCACTGTGTGAAGAATAAGGAATCTGATAAAGTTTTCATTGTAAAGCAGAGTGGCACTTTAAACCAGTCTTTTTCCTTCTCTTCCCTTTGTCTTTCAGTATCTTATGAAATAGCCCACTAAATAAATTAAACGCATTAAAGCTTAAATAAATTCAGGGTCACTAAAATGTTTCAGATGAACTAAAGGAGAAACAAAATGTCAATTTGGAAAGAGAAAAAAAAGTGAAATTGTAGTCTAGATGAAAGGCTTTTCTCACTAAGCAGCAATCTCTTAATGAAGTCAAAATGGACTTCATTCATTGCTAATAGGGAATTTGGATTATCTGCCTCATTGTCCTAGCTGGTTCACAGATGTCCACACTCTGTCAGTGTTTATATTGCCATTGGTAAAGTCCCCTAAGTTCCTTTTTTTTGGTTTTGTTTCTATACCTGTGTTCATCCCGAGATTCCTACCGCATCACTTGAGGCAGGAAACCCCAATGGTCTCCACAAAATACTCTGTCTAGCCCACACAGAGCAGAGAGAAGTGAGCCTGATGTTCTTTCACCTAAGGTATTGTCAGACAAACAAATCCTGCTGCAGTTATTCTGGGCTGGAAATTACAGTTTCTGCTGCTGTTGCTTGTCCTTCTCTTGGAATAATCCTATTTAAAGCCACCTCAAAATAAATTTGCAGAACTGAAGGAGAGTAATCTCCGTCAGGAAAAAGAGGAGATAGCAGGAACCAGAATAGCTAGTGGCAATCCCAGTCATCTACCGTGGATCTTAGCTAGGTTAATTTATGTGTCCTCAACAGGTCTGTCATTTCAACACTTACAGGAAGAGCAGTCGCAGGGAGATGGAGGTTAAAATGACATCTCTCACCTTCCAGGAAAGCTAATGTAGGCTGAAGGTGTCTTAGTCATTTAATATTCACTATGGCAGAGGCAGACTGCCTCTGTAGCCTTGAGGTTTGGCACTGATTAAGGTACTCGTCCTGCTTGCTCCTTTTAATATTTCTCTATTTTGCATGCCTTGTCCCAGGTGAGTGCTGTAGTTACTGTGCCTTCGGAGGAAAAAGATGTACTCCAGCTTTTAGCACTTAGACCCTGAGAGGAGGATCTGACCTGTATCTATTCAAAGCAGGTTCAAGACTACGAGTCCTGCTGAGAAATAGGCACCTAGTTCCAGTCCTCACCTTGCCATTTTGCACTGGTGGGTGGAGGTGGCTTTTCCCTGAGCGTGCACACTTCTGTGGATGCCTTTGTAGGTACCCTGCAGGTATGGAACGCAGGAGGAGCAGCGTGAATTCTGGCAGCAGCAGGATGTTTAACATGAGGGGGTGAATGACTATGTTCTCCTTGCGAACTGGCTTTTGTTCTTTTTTGTACAGACACAAGCCATCTTCTGGAATGGCCAAACTGAATCTGGGAACTGGGCCACAAAAACCTTTGTAGCCAGTCTCAGTTTCTGACAGCTTACCCTGCTGGGTTCACTTTTCTTCCTTAGACTAGGCAGCAGTAGAAGTGCATATGGAGCTGCTAACTTAGCAGCAGAAGTCACGTTTTCTTGCTTATGTTCTCATCCTAACTTAAACTGGCCTCCTATTGCCATCGCCATCAACTGTAATATTAAGTTCCGATTTGACGGTATACCATTAAAAATCAGCAGCAGCCAAACCCTTCTTCTTTCTGCCCCACCACCGTACCTTGAGAGAAAAGTGTAGGGTTAAAAGCAATGAGAACTGGAAGTTGCACAACCATGAGCAGTGCAGACGGTTGCATTGTCCTCATCTCTGCCACAGCGGGTGTGGGGCAGGACTCATTCTTTGAGCTCTCCGTGAACAAGATCAACAAAGAGTGAGGTTACGTCCATGGCAGCTGAGGCTGTAAAATCCAGATGTCTCCAAAGCCCCGGTGAGAATCATTCTCATTTGCAGAAGCTGCCTAGTAAGGTTGTAACTTCTGAAATGGTGAATAGCTATATCTTTGGTTTTGTGCATGCTAAGAATAAATTCCAGAAGCGCACAAGCTTAAAAAGCTGCAAAAAGGTTTTGTTTGTGGGTTTCCTCTATGTGACCCTGAGGTTCAGGTAAACACCTAACTTATGAATACTTACATAAACTCAAACCCTTCCAAGGTTTTGCCCTTTACTAGGTCTCCTGTTCTTATGCTTTAATTCTTTAAGTAACTCCCAGTCTGACAGCTGAATTGCAGGAATCACATAGATTTCAGTCAGCAAAAGAGGAGAGATCGGTCATTTCTAACCACTTACCTGTTTCGCAAGAAGGGCTGCTCCATCCGCGTCTGCATTTGCACTCATCTGGTGACACACAGACCCCACCGTTATGGCAGTGTCTGTTACACACCACTGGAAAATACACAAAGGATCAAAATCTCTTATCAGTAACACTCATGCAGGTCCTAAAGCTGCTCTATTACAGCAAATAACCAATGGTATTAGTCCAAGAGGTAAACCGAGGGATGAATCCATCCCTTTCCTTGGTTTTCCTTCTCTCCTCTGCCCGTTCTTTCCATCAGAAGTCTTGCATCTAAATTCTTTGCTTTTTAAGTATTCCAGCTACCCTGGTTCAGAGATAAAATTCTATTCCTGTCAAGGGCAACCTGATATTTAAATAAGCAGGACTGCAATAATGAAACTGCATATGTTTCGCCAGTCAGCTAATATAGAAGGGTTTGAAGGCTGATATTCTTCCCAGATGTTCAATACATTGCACCTCTTTTGTGACTTGTATTGCACAATAACATGAGTCCTAATAGGTATGGTTGTCTTTTTGTGTTCTCAAAATGAGTATTACTGCGTTCACTCACACAACCTTGAATTTTATAAATGTTACTATAAATAACATGGAAGTTTTTGCTTGTTTGTTTGTTTTTCCAGAAGCACTTTTATGCAGAAAATGTTGGTATAGATGTGCATATTTTTACGTAATACAACTACACTGCTGGTAAATATATGCTCTGGAATAGTTATTGTATATTATTTTGATATATTATACTTTGATTTCCTTGCTGTATTCAATCATCATTTTAAGGGGAAATATAGAAAAATAAGAAAAAGCTTTTTGTGTCTCATAATTTTCTGCAAATTCAAACATGTAATGAAGAGAAAATCCTGAATGAATTCATACATACTTGTTTCACATCGAGGACCAACAAATCCATAAACACAAGAACAAGCGTTTTGAGAAACACAGGTTCCTCCGTGCTCACATGGTGGATCACACTGTCCTGCAAAATAAAACATGAGGAAAAAACCACAGTTCCAATATTACATTCTGTGTGGTCATGAGCACGACACTTGTTACTACTATTCACATACCATTTTATTAATACAACAAGTAGTTTGGCTACTGAGGAACACACTGCAGGATAAAAGTATCACATTAGTAATACAGCACCAACTAGTGAGTAGCTATATAATGTCTGCAAGGGAATGATTCTAACATAATCATGTTGTTTAACTTTCGAGCATGCACATTTTTACGTATGTATTTTTGAAGTCAAAAACAAATGTAGTTCATAATACTGATGACTTTGCCCATCCCTCTCTACAAATTTGCCTTGCAGATGTCCAGTAAACCTTAACAGGTGTCAGAAGTTACACAAAAGCAGAGACGAAGGGTTTCTTCTGTACAGAAAAGAGCTGTATGGGAATTTGTCAGCAAAATGACAAACATTTAAGCAACAATTTAAATGTTTAATAAGTAGTGAGGTCTGCAGACAAAGCAGCAAGTTAGAGAATGATTTCTTGACATACTGCAATAGGCAATGTCATTCTGTGGAAGACAGAAGATGAGCAGGTGTAGTGCATAAAGCTGGAACGTACCGCAGCTCCTGAAACAGGCTATTTGCTGAAGGCACTTTTTTTTTTAAACGTTGATCATTACGAGCCTAATGGCTTTATTGTGCAGGGAGCCTGGAAGGTTTAGCCTCTTAAATCTAACATCTGAGGTAGATATCGGACATCTGATGTCATCACCACTACTATTTGTAGCCCTCTAATAAGAGATAGTTTTGTATGCCAAACACAGGAGAGGAGGAGAGAAGACCACTGAAGGTAGAAGATGACCACTGAAGGTAGAAGATGACCACTGAAGGTAGATGACCACTGAAGGTAGAAGATGACCACTGACACTTGCTCTAAGAAGTGCTATGTGCAGGAACAGAGGCATGTGTGTCAGCTGGCTCTCACTTATGCCTTTGGAAAAAAAAACCCACAACCCAACACCTCACATAACAGAATGAAGAATATCTTTCCTTGTGCTTGGGAAGTGAACGCAGAGAAAAATGTTGTACTTTGGCACACTTTACTGGCAGAGATTTGTCTTTTATAATGGATATGAAGCTAAGCAAGGTTATTCCAAGGAAAATGCAAAATGAAGCTAAAGAGATCTAAAACAAAGCATCTTTCATTTTAAGTATTGTTACAAGGGGAAAAAATGAATGTACCACATTTTGTTCTTAAAAATGGAAAATGGACTGTGCAATTGGAAAGCTAAATGAAGGACAAATACTTGTGGCACCAAACAAAAGCTCATGCATTGAAGGCCTCCTCACCTCTTGTGATATCACCAACCCTTCAGATAAAGCCATTGCATATCAACTTTGCCATCCAAAAAAGTTATGAAAGCCACCACATATTTTCTAATTGCAGTTAAAAAGACAAACTCCAAGAAGGTACCTTTAAATAAATTTTGACACAAATAACATTAAAGAAACACATTGGTATTAGATTTGCTCTTCAAGTACTTCAGTATTTACATTTCCTGTAACCATGCGGTTTTATCTGTGAAATTTTCAATGCTGCATGAAAATAACTTTAGGATTTGGCATGCCTGAGAACAGAGAACTCACTAGGTACAGTTTAGATCCATACTATACATGCTGAGAATGTCATTAAGGTAAATTTAGTTTTGATTTGATGGGCTATAAGGTTTAGACATTTGCAATTCAGCATGTGTTTAGCTGAAATTTGAAGTGTACATCTGGGAGAAAAAGAAGAATTAAAAAAAATCGACATTGTCTGGACAACTAAATAGATTTGATTTAGACCCATTTAAGCAGTTAGTGTTAAACTTTCCCAAAGTTCTAATTCAGCCACCGGCAGCAGCTGTTGGAGCAGGTCAGAGGCTCAGGCAGCTCGGGGTCTCATGCTATTAGGGCGAACAGCAGGTAGCAGTCCGTGATGAAATGGAAAGTGGAAGAAAGGGAAAGAAATTGAAGCCATTTTCAAAGAAATTTGTTATTCCTTTAAAATTGCAGTACTATACAAGCCACCACTCGCGTTCGGGGGCTTGTGCTAGAGTCACTGGAGTCAATGACAGGCGTTGGGGCTTTGAAAGGAGGGTGCCGACCCACCCGTTGCATCTGAAACATCTGCATTCTTCTGGGCTTGGGTAAGCGCAGGACTGGCTTACAGAGGAGTTCCTCTGCAGCTAGAAATTAACAGGAGGTAGAACCAGTTAATAATCTCTGCATGGAGACAGGGAAACACAAAACCTGGGGAAAATGTACTGCTCTTTTTGAAGTACGTGAAACGCAACCTCCTTTCCTGTAGGACGACGGTTGCATAAAGCCTCCAGGTGCCCAAGTGCTATGGCAAGCACGGTGACATTCAAACATATTATGCTTTATTTCAGCGTTTTGTATGTAGCACTTAAAGCGAATGTGTCCATTTGAATAGAGTACTTTCCATCTGGCCTTTACACATTTTGAGATGCATCTGAACTGTCAGAAAAGAACACGGTCTTTTGGATATTAAAACATTTAGCTGTTATGGTGACATTTAATAGTAAAATGTTTAAAACTATTCTGTTACTGATGAATAGCAAAAGATAAAAACTGAACACTAGCTGCAGTGTGAGAGCAAGAATAATAGTCACCTAAAAGACATTTCCCTCCATAATAGAAATATACTGTTTGTGTCAAATTATTTTCCAAAACTTCTGTCTTTCATCTTCTGGAATGAATATTTTTTCCATAAACATTTGCAGAGTTGTACGAAGGTGTTGCAGTGTTTTTATACTAAGCGGTTTTGGATGGTATGAAATAACAGTAAAGAAGAAAACATTGCTGTAAATGGTCACTCTTGCTGTCAAATGTATGTATGTTTATGTTTATAATTTAAAATCTGGAGGTGAAAATGGACAAGTCCATTATTATTTTCTGTGAAAGGGCTTTTTGGGAAATATCCCCAAACTACTTTTTCCCACTAAAATGAGATCATGCACTTTTTATAAGATTCTCTACGATAACTTTGGGGGTACTCAGGAATACCAGATGCTGTGTTGTTTCCTCTGTTTTTGATAGCCTAATCAGCAAATGGCTTCCAGGACAGAATTATTGCTTAACATCTCAACAGCGAGTAAACTCCCTGTGCCGTCCGGCATGCGAGGTCCCGAGCACGCACCATTAAAGCAAGGCTCAGAGGTGCAAGAACATTACCTGCAGTTCCATTTAAAAATTTGGAAACTCATTGGAAGGAGTGTAGTCTACCTTGTTTCATATACTCATCGTACATTATTTATTTTCTTTCAAAGATGTTTTAACCTAATTTCCTAAGTGCACAGATGAAGTTTGAATACGTGCGGCACAAGGGAGGGAAAAAAGGAAAGGAAAGTTATGTTGCAGGCTAGCCAGTGTATTGGATTTCCTTTTGAACAGATATGGATTGAAGCCTTTCTTTTGCATGTAAGATACACAAATAAAGGAAATAATAGAACATAAGGTTAAAGCATGCATTAGTGCAATTAAAATAGCTCATATGCATATTTGAATAGTCCAGCAGTCCAGATAACAGTTATGAAATAAATACCGGTCATAGCAAACAGAAAATTAACTGAATAAATTGGGAATACAAACACAGACAACAGTTCTGGTTAGGTTGTGCTAACGGATTTTGTTTTGTGAAATTGCAGCTGAGTGCTCATCTGCAGTCAAAAAAAAGCAAATAAAATGTTAGGAATTGTTAAGAAATGAGCAGAGCACAAAATGCCAGACGTTATTATGGTCTGTCCCCATGGTGAGCTGCATTTTAAATATGGTGTTCAGGTCTGATCCCCCAGCTCAGAAAAAGATATCGTAAACGTGGAAAAGATGCAGAAAAAGGTGACAGGGATAACCAAATTTATAGAACTTTCATATAAAGAACAAGTGAATAGATTAGGTCTTTGGGAAAGACCTTGGGGGGGTAGGAGAGAAAAGTGCAAAATCCAAGGTGGCCTGGAAAGGTTGAACAGGGTACTGTTCACAGGAATCACCTTGGCTTTTGGAAGCACATCATCCATAACTTGCTGAGAGAGTATTCTGGACAGTACCCCTATATCGTTCCCATGTACTGCCAGACATCTGCTGTTGGTAGCTCTTGGAGATAGGGGAAGGACTTTTGGTCTGATATGGTAGAGCTGTTTGGGTGTAAAAATGTCAGAACAGATGAATGTCAGCTACCTGATTTTTTCCATCTCATTTCATCCAGCTGTTCATCCTGAGGTTGTAATATTTTCCCAACTATTCCATCTTTCCTGATATTTTGAAAATTACTTGGTTCAAATGGTGGTTTTGTAATGTCAAGGCAATGGTGTGTTTTTAGCTCTGAGCACAAAGCATGACTGCTACCATTCTGGATTTCCCTTTCCCTTAGAAAATACTGTGCAAAGCCTATAAAATATCCCAGAGTTTTACTGACTTAACATTTTTAAGAAAATGTTTCTAAATTTACATGACTTTATCTTCCATAGGAATTCTGAGGAACTTGACTACTATAAAACTAGAAAGATACTAGACCTTAACTATCACCTAACCCCAAATAGCTTTAAATAACTGTCTATATTCTACGGGAATGAGTCTTTGACTTTTTAATGATACAGATTTAGTATCCAGACTTTCCCTATCGAATGAACTTGGAGATAGAGAAATAAAACCAAGGATGACCAGAAATTTGGCTTAAATTCTTGTCTTTCTTCATTATTCAGGTCTAGATCTCTCAGAAAGAAGCACAACAACAATGCCCAGAGCAGAATTTTTTGTTAACTTCAACCCTGTTACCAAATGGAAAGGACGTGTTCCACCTTAGGGCACCCCAAGGAGCTCAAGAAGTACAACAGCTGCTCTCAGACAGTGCCATATGCACAGACCCTGGTGAATAAACCGAGCCCAGGGAAAAAACAGCATTTATTTCCTTGTCCAGTGGATGCAGCACCTTTGAAAGTTCAGGCCTGTGTTCCCATTGTAGAGTGCAGAACAAAGGCAGAACCACGAGTAATAGCTTTAAGGTGATGAACAACACTAACGAATATTTCAGAGCATTAGCCTCAAATGTTACAAAGGGCTGCGTTACATGTGCCACGTGTAATGCACTAGACAAAATATCAGAAACATTCTGAAAACAATCCTGTTTGGATTAGTTATGCATTATTAAAGTAGTAGGTTTTTATTCAGTTGGCATACTGAGCTGAAACCTCTACAGCTCTGTAAGTGTTATGACACTTCTGCAGTGCACTTTGGCAGGTGATAGGTGCTGTCCCGTAAAGCTGCTAGCAGTATACCATAGTAGTGCATTGGGTTTATGGTATATATCCTTGAAAAGGGCACTCAGAGCGGAAATTAGGTATTTAGTAACCTCCCTCATCACCAGAGGAACTCTTGGCTAAGTTTACTCCATAAATGCCAGCGAGCATCTACTGCAAGAGAATGTGCGGGAGAATCCAGTAGACTATGGTAGGCCTTATCTCCCCTGCTTATTTTTTATTACTGTGTAGGTGATGCTGACTATCTCCAAAAGGCTATCTCCAACAACTTCTGAAATGAAGTTTTTCAAGGCCTTGCCTGTTTAGCAGACTGGTCTTAACTTTAGGCCACCAATAAATGGTGATACTGCCTTTGTGCAGGAAGGTGAAAGAGCTCTACAAGCTGAGAACCTGGCCAGCTATAGCAAGGGGCATGGGAGCGATGCAGAGAGCCTTGAGGAACTACTTCATCTTACCTCATCTGCAGAGTAAGTACCTGCTGCCAGATGTAAGAGAAATAAGAATCTGCAATGCTTATTGCGTCAAAGCAAGATGGGCAAAAGCAAGGCCCTACTTTTTACAGACAGATGACAAAGTTGGTGATGGTGAAGGGAGTGATCTAAATGGAAATTGCTAAGAGCATCTGAACATATCTCAGTTTAGATGCCTGAATATAAGCCAAACACACTGACATCTAGCTACGTTCTTTCAAAAGAAGGTAGGAGGTTAGACCTGGTGATCCATCCTCAAAGGTCTCTTCCAGCCTGGACTCCTGTGAGCCTCTGATTCCTGAAGCAGGAAGCTAGAGAAGAGGAAGAGGACTTCCAACTAAATCACAACAGGGAGACTGAGGGGCTTGTCCAAAGGAATAAGAATATTACAGATATAAAATGTGGTATGATTTACTTCAGAAGAGGAATTAATTTTGGGGATGCAGGTATTTTTTTCCTACCAATCCTCCAAGCCTGATTTTGAACCTGCACAACTGGAAAAAAAAATAAATTACATTCTCTCACAAGATAAGTATCACTTGGCAAAATATTATCTTAGAGTATTTTCAGACACTCTTATTAAACAAAGGCCACATCCCCTCAAGCTCCACAGGTATTAAAACTTGCTACCGATGAGCTGTTTCTTTTATCTTGGTGAATTCCGATATCAAATAGGATGGTGACAACTGCCAACAGTGTCTGAGTCTGTCGACATTTTTGCTCACTTGCCACGGATGTTACATCGAAGCCCGACTATTTCGCAAATGCTGGTCTCACTAAGCTTTGATCACTTGTTCAGTTTCGCTGCCTCTTGCTCTTAGAGGGTGCTACTGTTTTAAGGGAAGTTGGTACAATCGTGGAGGCATTGTAAGGCGCTGATAGCTGAGGTTACGACAGGCCTTAATCCAAGGAATTATCCTCATCTTTCAGCTCCATCTGTCATGGTGAATCAGATGCATCTGACATGGGAAGAGACATCAACGGCTGGAGGTACAATGGGTGCTCTTCACACTCCTGGCCATGCTCCAGGAAGGTGCTCGCAGGTGCACCGAGGGGCTCGGGGTGAAGCAGAAGCAGGGAGCCGACAAGCTTATTACTGAGTCAGGTGACACGATCAGTGACACGAGACAAATAAAGGATGTTTGTGTATCGTGTCATCAAGCCCCAAGACAGAGGATGATGTTGGTAATAAAGTATTTCATCCTAAGGACTCTCCAGAGAGATTTTCAGTAATACCAGTAATTGAAGGAAACATCTCATCTTGCGAGACAGTAAAAGGCCGAGGTAGATTTATGTTTTAAGGACTATACTGATGGGCATGCTAAATATACTTATACACAAAGCAGCCATATGCCCATGTTCATAAATATTCATATGTACATTGGCCTGGTCTTTGAGGGGAGGCTATTCTGCGGTCAAACTGGCTTTGGGCTTCCTGGTACTAGGAGCTACTTGTTACTTTTCCAGCTCCAGGTATAAAACAGAGGTCATGGACAGAGTCTTTCATGCCAGGTAACCTTAAGTCTTTTAGAAGGGGCATTTCAGAAATGTGCAAACAAGCAAAAATTATAGCACCCAAGATTATAGTAACCTTTTCTTATGCATTTTGTAATACATGTCCAGGACTGCTCTGAGCTCAGAGGGTTGCAGTCTTGCTGGGGGCTTTACACCCCCATGAAGCCTTGCTTACAGCGAGGAATCCCTGCAAGGTCCTCTGCGGTGCATCACGGCTGAGAGCCCCCTACGCTGGTCTGCTCTGTGCTCAGAGCACAAGAAACCATATGCGAAGAAGGAAATAGATGATGCAAATACTTTTGCTTTGTGTAGTGAAAGGCCAATTAAGATATCAACTTATCAGAGGGATTTCAACAAAAGGTGTAATTAGTGATAGCTAAGTCAGGGAATTCATTGTTTCAACAATGTGCATAATACTATTGTTTTATGAAGGTATTCTAAGCTGTCTAATAAATAACTCAATATATTGTGAAAACCCTTCTGGTGCTACACATTTCAGATGACAAATTCAGTTTTGTATTTAAGATATTAGATAGATATTTAAGAGTAATTTTTAAGGTAGTAGAACAATTATTTTTTCCTAGAATATGTGTGGTATAGAGAAATGGAGTTAATTTTACTCTTTC